CCTACCTACACTCACCTTTCCTGGCCCCATCCCCGCCTCTTCGACCTGTTTGTTTCTTCTCCACCTATCCTCTCCTCCATCCCTCTTCTATCCGCCTCCCACTCTCTCCCTATTTATTTCAAAACCCCCTTCCCCTCCCCCTTTTCTGATGAAGGGTCTAGGCCCGAAACGTCAGCCTCTCTGCTCCTATGATGCTGCTTGGCCTGCTGTGTTCATCCAGCCTTGCACCTTGTTGTCTCGGATTCTCCAGCATCTGCAGTTCCTACTATCTCTTAAAGAAGGGCAGGTCTGGGTGTTAAATATTTCTGATTACAAGGTGTTCAGAAAAGGTAAGAAACAAAACGAAAGGAGAAGTGGCGTTTTGTTAAGGAGAGCTTTGCAGTACTGGAGAAAAAGAATGTTTCAGAGAGTTTGATTCAGCTATAGCTAAAGAATAAGAAGAATGTGATTGCATTGTTTGGTATAATCTATAGACTCCTAACTAGTGGAAAAGATGTAGAGGAATAAAATCTGCAAGGAAATTAGAGAGGTCTGAACATCACAGAGTAGTTATAATTGGCAACTTTTAATAACACATATAGAGACTGGTACTGTAAGGAACAGGTGTTCCTACATTGTGTCCACCACAGGCAGCTTTACCTAGAGCTTTCTAAGCAGCAGTATCTCAAATTCCCTCCCTAATCCTCTCTATTTTCCTACCTCTTTCTTTACCACCCAACTAAAGCCTACCTCTTCAGGCAAGCTTTTAATCAGCTGTCCTAATATCTTCTTGTTCAACCGCATCAATTGTTCTTCATTCTTATATGGAATGTGGATGTTGTTGGCAAGACCAGTATTGTTGCCCACCCCTAAGTGCCCTTGAACTGAATGGCTTGATAGGCCATTTTAGAGGGCATTAAGAGTCACCTACATTACTGTTAGCCTGGAATCACGTGTAGGCCAGGCTAGATACAAAACACTGGAGACATTTCCTCCTGTTAAACATATTGTATAAATGCAAGATATTCTTGTTGCCCATTTTTCTTTGTGATTTTTTTCTGTCACTCACCATGATTTTTCTGAAAGTCCAGACTGATTCATTCTTCCCAGGGGTCTGCCAGTGCAGCTGTTCTGCAATCAGATGAGTCATTGCTATGCAAAAGTAAGCAGCTTGGATCCATTCTCCACTTCTGTTCTCTAAGTGTGACTATGGAAAAACTCTCCCAACCCTGATCTCCACTCTATAGTTTTCCCCAGTAATCAGGAATTATCCACATGGGAAATTGTAAACTCGATCTATGTCCTCTGCTTTTGCACTGAACGTTGATGAGTCTTGGAGCATGCCTTTGGCTAACAGGCTCCACATTTTTTTAATTTTGGCAATAGATGTTCACTGAGACAAATCCATTGCATATCCTAAAACTACAAAGGTTTAATACTGCAAACTTAATTTTTAAAAAAAAGTCTTTCAAACCAAACATTTAGATGTATTTCTGCCTTCTTTCTTAATAACATAATGGCTTTGAATTTGCAGTATTGGTATGTTTTAGAGCCAAGTGATGAATGGGGATTTTATTTGTGCTCAAATCAAAATATTCAGTTGCATTCACCTTGGCGTTTTAGTTCTTTTGCATTGATTCCTTCAGATTTAGATGAATCCAGGAAACTCTTGGTGGTTGGAGTTGCAAGCTGTGTAACAGTATAATTTACAAGGAAGGAGATAAATAAAAGGAAATGTTGGAACAAGGCATACAAATGTTAAAAGACTTTGACAAGATCCAGAAGCCTATTAGTGACCTTTGTTGAATTTGAAGAAAGAAGGAATGAAGAATTGGTGGGCAAAAAATAAATGGAAAGGAAATTTGTGGTACAAGGATGACACTCCATCCAGCCAAGTTGCCAAGCAATTGAGCATACATCTCTTGTTTAGTTGTTGATGAGTGTACTTGCACAGTATGAGTTAATGGCAAGGCAAGTTGCTGCTCTATAGCATTCCCCTCAATTGATCAGCATTGCAGCTTGACACCAAGCAGTTGCAGCTAAGTTTCAGGCCATAGTAAGCAGTTACTATCACCAGCAGTGCTAGCCTTATGTGACATTTCTTGAAGCTCTGTGTTGAGCTCTGTATTGAACGAAACCTTGTGAAGATAATTCTCTCTATGGTCATTGCCTAGTGGGGGGTTTACCATTGACCAGAAACTCAACTGGACTCACCATATAAATACAGTGGCTTACAAGAGCAGGTCAGAGGCTAGGAATACTGCAGCAAGTAACTCACCTCCTGTCTCCCCAAAGCCTGTCCACCACCTACAAGGTACAAGTAGTGGATCACACACCTGACTCTACACTTGACTGGATGAGTGCTCCAATATCACTCAAGAAGCTTGGCACCATCCAAGACAAAGCAGCCTGCTTGATTGGCATCAGATCCACACCCTCTGCCACTGAGTCAGTAGCAGCATGTGTGCTATCTACAAGGTGAATTGCAGAAATTCATCAAAGATCCTTAGACATCACCTTGTAAACCCATGACCACTTTCATCTAGAAGGACAAGGACAGTGGATACATGGGAACACCAGCACCTACAAGTTCCCCTCCAAACCACTCACCATCCTGAAACTTCCTCTCTAAGTGTATTGTGGATCTACCTGTAGCACATGAACCACAGCAGTTCAAGAAGGCAGCTCACCACCACCACCTCAAAGACAACTAGGTACGGTCAATAAATGCTGGCCTGCCAGTGACGGTCACATCCCGCTAGTGAATTATGTAAAAAAAAAATTGACTTCTGCACATAAAATTGGTGGCATCTTGGTTAATGTATGGTGTTGTTGATGATCCTGGCATGTAGTACTAAAGCACTCTGCATTCCATTACTGCTGAGCCATTATTCTATAAGTATTACAGTATGGTTTTTGTTTTCAGACTCTTGAGGTTGCGTTTATATGCTTTTTCTCCTGTTTCACACAATTACTTGTTTATTTGATTCACAGGACCAGCAGAACAATATACTAGGCACTGTCATGCAAAACGTGGTATTACTTCTCAACAACCTAGTTGCCTATAAAGGAGCTAACATGGAAATGCTTTATGAGCAAGGTATGCAACTTTTTAAAAAATATTACAGAACACATGTGACATTAACTTGAAACTTCTTATTGAATTCCACAAGTTCAGACTTAATTATTGTGTTCGAAACCATTATCTTTGGAAATGGAATTATTGTATTCAGGTTTGTTTCATTTTAAAGTCCAAATGTTCTCAGTAATTATATGTTGGATAAATGATAAATGGATTGTGTCAATAGTAATTATTGTACTTTTATGGCCCTTCAATATTCTAAAGTTGTAATTGTTTCACTTGTGAATGCAATTGTCATTCGTCTTGTAATCACTACATCCTGTGCGTTAATCAATTACCTTTAACATTCAAAGTGGGATGTTAAAAACAATTTGTTATCCATATTTATTAATCTGTACATTTATAGGAGATAAGTATACTGATTCCATTAATCTCTGTGTTGGTTTGAAATAAAATTTGTGCACAATTACATTTATGTTTGTAAAATAGAGCAAGCAGTAAAATGTACTTAGAGTCATAGCAATATATAACATGGAAACAGATCCTTCAGTCCAACTCGTCCATGCCGACCAGATATCCTAAATAAATCTAGTCCCATTTGCCAGCATTTAGCCAAATCCCTCAAAACCCTTCCTATTCATATACCCATCCAGACCCTTTTAAATGTTGTAATTTTACTAGCCTCCACCACTTCTGGTAGCTCATTCCATACATGCATCACCCTCTGCATGAAAAAGTTGCCCCTTAGGTCCCTTTTAAATCTTATCCCTCTCACCTTAAACCAAAGACCTCTAGTTTTTGACTCACAACGCTGGGGAAAAGACCTTGTCTATTTACCCTATCCATGCCCCTCATGATTTTATAAACTTCTGTTAGGTCATCCCTCAGCTTCTAACACTCCAGCAAAAATAGTCCCAGTCAATTCAGCCTCACCCTATAACTTAACCCCTCCAACCCTGGCAACATCCTTGTAAATCTTTTCTGAACAACATCCTTCTTATAGCAGGGAAACCAGAATTGCATATAGTATTCCAATAGTGGCCTAACCAATGTCCTGTACAGCTGCAACATGACATCCCAACTCCTATACTCTGTGCATGGACTGACAAGGGCAAGTATACCAAACTCAATGATATAGTTATCCAAATCAACATAACTTAAACTTAACTTCAGTTTAAAATAAAATTATGTTTTCTATTATTTTCTACTGCATTGTTAAAAAATGACAAGCACGACAAGAATGTGCACAAACTGCCGAATTGAAATATAGACTAGGATCTAAAATTAGAGCAGGGTATAACACTGAGACAAGGGTTGTGTTGAGGATAGGAAACATCTGTTGTGGACTACTGGAGAAGGGGAAATTTTCAGAGAGGAAAATGTCAGAAGTGAACCCTGCAGGAGGATTGGGAATGGATTTAATGGCGCATGTAAATCCGGAAGTTAGTTAAACAAAAGAACAAAGAACAGGAACAGGCCCTCACCCAACAATCCTGTGCTGACACATGACGCCTTTCCAAATTAAAGTCCTTTATCTTCTCTGCAGTCCATAACCCTGTATTCCCTGCCAATTCATCTATGTGTCAAGTTGCCTGTTAAACAATGCTGTTGTTTCTGCTTCTGCCACCTCCTCTGGCAGTGCATTCCAGGCACCAGCAAGGTAGACATATGTATACAAACATACATACAACAAACAAGAATAGGCCATTTGGCCCTTTAAGCCTGCTCTGCCATTCAATAAGATCTTGGTTGATCTTATTTTAATCTCAACTCTACATTTATGTATATCTTTAATAATCCTTCATTCTCTTGATAATCAAGAATCTAACCTCACTCCTAGTGAAACATTTCAGAAATGTCACAATGTGAAGAAGTGACAGCGTAGCTCCATGTCTGCTTTCTAAACCCCATCCTGGTTAACCTGGCCCCTTGATCTAACAGGAAGTTCAATCTCCCCTTTGACTAGCTTTGGAAGGCAGCAATTGAAGTGAAATGCAAAATTCTGCCGGTTGGCCTTGAGAAGGTGCTAGTGAGCCACCTTCTTTTGAAGTACTGCAGTTCATGCGACAAAGATTCTTACACTGTGCTGTTGGAAAGGAAGTTCCAAGATTTGAAGATAGTAAATATGAAGGAAGAGCCATACATGACCAAATCAGTGTCATGTGTAACTTGTTGTAAAGGGATCTTCAGCGACATGCCGCATTGCATCCTGCTTCTATGGTATGTCAGTAATTAAGTGAGTGGATATTTAAGCTGGTAAAAGAGATCCTGATCAAAATAAGCTAATGTTGAGCTTCTTGAGTGTTGTTGCAACTGTACCCATTTCATTGTTCTCCTGAGTTTTGCCTTACAATTAGTTAAAAGACTTTGGGAAGTCATAGATGTGAGCAAGACACTGTGGAATACCTAGTCTGTGGTCTGCACTACCCAACCATGGCATTTATATGGCTGCCCAACTGTGATTCTGATCCCACTAGGATGCTGATGATGAGGAATTTCTCCTCAGTGAATCCATTTAAAATAAGTGGAATTGCTTAAAGATTGAGTGCTTAGATTTACTAACACCTTAGAACTTTGACCAGGATTTCCCTCCCATCTGATTCCTTTGTGACTAAGAGTAGTGGCACAGGTCCCAAGCAGATTCACCATCTGGTCAGCCCAGTTACTGCTACTTCCCAGGTTGCCAAATAGAAAGTCAGGCAGCATCCATGGGGAGAAAGCAAGCTAACGTTTCAAGTCCAGATGACTGTTCATCAGCTCTGACTCTTTCTCTCCATGGATGCTGCCTGACCCGCTGTGATCTCCAGCACTTCTTTGTTTTCAGTACAGATTCCAGCATCTGCAGTAATTTGCTCTTGCCAAATAGAAAGTATTGGTAGGCTTGAGGAAATAGCAGCAAATGTCTCCAATATAGATTGAGAGAGAGGAGGCAGAAAATTTGTATCAACTTCCTCTCCATTCAGTCATCTGAGAGGCTTTCTCATGAAAAGGCCCACACTGGGGCCATCCTTTCACTTTCTGGTACATATCCACACCTTTTGAGTTCCCTTTCTAGCTTTAGCACCTTTGCACTCCCGGACCCTTTTGAGAGCAGGTAGCTGAGCAAGAGTTCAGTAAGATCACCTGAGGGTTGAATGTAGCTGTTAATTTGTAAGCTGAATGTGAATACATAACTGTCAGTGAAAGTAAGTGGTAACTGGGGAGTAGCACACATGGGATTGCTTTTCTTCAGCACTGCCAACGAAAAACTTGCAATTCATTTCCAAGCCTGCAAATTCTTGTAATTCTTTGAATTTCCAACCACCCTGGAAATGTAAACATGCAGTTTTCTGCATATTTAATTTTCTTGTATGAATAGTAAGCATTTATAAAGCAATGAAAATTGCTTGACCCTGGAATGAATCAAGCATGTTGGCAAAACTGAGATAAGAAGGAATCAGTATAATACTTTAACATTCTGAATTATGATGTCTTTGTGCATTGGATATTTCTGATTTTTCTGCTGTTACAAAAAGACTGTTATCCCTTCAAGTTATGTAACAGGAAAAAGAAATTGTGTGAGAGAAATACTGTCTCTTATAAATGTGGAAACATTACTTTGTAGAGGTGATGTTGAATCTTGTGTTTAATCCCGGTTGCATTTATTGCCCATCACTAATTGGCCACGAGAAGGTTGTGGTAGATGCCATCTTAAAGTGTTGCAATTCATATGATCCACCCACAATGCTACTAGGAAGGGAATTCCTGGATCTTGACCCAATGACACTGAATGAATGGTGATATAATTCCAAATCAAGATGGTGTTTGACTTGGAAGAGGATTTGTAAACAAGCTTTAATTACTTCTGGACTATGTACCAGTTATGGTGAACAAATCTGACTCTGTTTCCAAAAGGTCAGACTTTTCCACATTAAGTTAGCATGATGAATAAGTTTCTCAGTTCCTCTTTTCCAATCCATTCTGCACTCTGTACCCTCAACTAAGGAAACAATAAAATGGACAGAATCTTCCCGCTGCTGAACAATTGAGCATTGACGAGAAACTTGGAAGAATCGCATGAAATTGCTAAAAAGGGAATTGCCAATGTTGAGAGCAAAAGGTCCCATTTATCATCCATGTTGAATAGTGAGACAAGATTCTTGCTAGTGAGCAACAGGAGGCCTTTTTGCATGTATTAGCATCCCCATTATAATGTTATCTTGTCTCATTAATGTGCAGTTTCCCATTCTACCACCAATCAGATAGAAAGTAGATAGCAACAATTTCCAACATGCATGTCAGAGCAATAACTTGGTGACTTCAGCTCACTGCATGCTCCTTCAGCAGTCTATCTGGACACCAGGGTGCACTCCACAGGGCTGATGACACAATTCACCATGACCTCCATGTTCCAGTTGGCAAAACTGGGGTCAATTTCACTCAGTCTGACTTACCTGGGGCAATTGACTAGGAAACATATGTGGCAGCTGCAGACTGCCAGCACTTGACCAGGTGCATGGCTGAGCCTTAAAGATGGAGCCAGTGACAGGAGTGGAAAATATGATGAGTGAGGCACTGTAGAGGTGTGACATGTCGGCAATGCGCTTACACATGGGGAGATAGCATGAGAAAACACAGTAGGGTTCACAGATAGAAATCCTCCATGAAACTCACCAAAATTGACACTTAGCCGATTTCAGGTAAAATTCAGCCCAAGTATCAGTATTTTTTAACTTTTAAACGCAGCATATCCTTTAATGTCAGAAGGTCGGATCAGTAACTCTGTTGGTAGCACTCTCAGAAAGTTCTGGGTTCATATCCCACTCTGGAGACTTGTGCATATAATTGTGGCTGAAAGGTCAATGTAGTACTAAGGGAGCACTGCACTGCTTGGGTTGCCATCTTTCAGGTGAAACTTTAAATCCAGAGCCCCAACTATCGTGACAAGTGTTTGTGAAGGACTCCATGACATTATTTCAAAGAACAGGGGAGTTCTCCCTAATGTCTTGATCCAAACTTAACCCTTAACCAATTTCATC